ATCCTCAAGTGTACGTCATGTTCAGCTTGTGTGCGGCTATAGATCAGGATATCGTCGAGCTACGCAAAGCAAAAGTCGAGATCTTGCAGTACTTCGTCGATGAAGCTCTGAAATGTTTGGCCTGCGTTCCGTAAGCCGAAGCTCATGTACGGGAACTCGAATAGACCAAACGGTGTTGTGATGGCTAACTTCGGGATGTCTTCAGGGTTGACTGGTATCTGGGTGTAGGCCTTCACTAGATCGATTTTGGAGAATAATTTGCATCCTCCCAGGTTTTGACTGAAGTCGTGGATGTGCCGGACTGGGTAGGTATTTGTCGGGGATTGTGCGTACGTTCAGGGCGCGGTAATCTCCGCATGGACGCCAGCCGTCGGGTTTCTTGGGTACTATGTGCAAAGGAGAGGCCCAAGGGCTCTCGGAGCGTCTTGCAGTACCGTCCTTGACCATCGCTTCAAATTCGGCTTTTGCGATGCGAAGTCGATCAGCCAAGAGTCTTCGTGGGCGACAGGATTCTGGAGGGCCAGGGGTCGTCCGAATGTGATGGCGAGTGGAATGCTTGGGCTGTCTGGAAACACCGGATGGACGGGTGAGCTCAGGGAGCTCGGCCAATATTGCGCAGTCTTCGGAGGCGGTGACAGCCTTGACGCTTTCTTGAAAAACTTTCGCCGGTTGGCAGTGCGTTTTGAGTCCTGTGATAATGTCCACCAGAGTCTTGTTGTGACAGTCAGGAAGCAACTGGAACTGAGCAAGGAAATCGGAACCAATGATCGGGGTCGTCACGTCGGCGATGACAAATTTCCAGTCAAAATCACGGCGTAAACCGAGGTGTAGATTGAGTGGAATGTGACCATAAGTCCGGATTGTAGATTCATTTGCTGCAGTAAGTTCATAGCCAGTGTCTTGCAAATTTTGCTGGACGAACCGCCGGGGGTAGCAGCAGACGTCTGAGCCGGTGTCGACCAGAAATCGCTTCTTGCTGCGGGCGTCAGTAACAAAGAGGCGGTCGGATTCTGTGGAGCAACCAGCGGCCACCACTACTGGTTGCCGGTGGAGTTTGTCGGCGTGGACTTAGGTTTGTAACTGCAAGGTTGACGGCATGCACGTGCTTCATCGCCAAACTTGTGATGGTAAAAGCAGACGCCATTACGGCGGTCGTTTTCTGAGCGGGAACGAGAGCGTGACCGTGAGCGAGACAGGTCGCGATGCAACTTTTTCTGACCCATTTCAAGCTGGTCAAGTCGTTCTGTCAAAGCTAAGAGCATCTTCTCCAGTTTGGATGTTTGAGGCTCAGGCGGTGCGATAGCGGCAGCGGCACAGGCAGATGGAGCCGGGACAACTTCCAAAATTCGGTCGGCGATTTTGGCCAGTTCATCGATTGACGTTTCTTGGGAGTGCGTCTGTAAGATAGCTTGCGCCTGGCGAGGTAAACGTTGCAGCCAAAGAGTCTTCATGAGCTGCTCATCTACTTTCGTAGTGCCAGTTAACGCTTTTAGCCTACGCAAAAATTGCGAAGGTGTACTATCGCCAAGGTCTCCTTCAGTGAGTAGTTGGCGAAAGCGGTGCGTTTCCGATTTGGACAGGCGAAGAATCAGCTCGACTTTTAGCTTAGAATATGGCGTGTCAGTGGGAGGTGATACGAGAATGTCCTCCACTTCGTTAGCAACACGAGTTTCCAATTGAGATGATACGAGAGAATAACGCATCATTTCGTTTGAAATGTTCCAAACTGTAAAAATAGATTCTACCTGTGAAAACCATAACTGCGGTTTTTCTAGATTAAAAGGAGGTAGCTTGATGTTTTTCTTCTCACCAGTGATGGGTTTGGCGGGTTGCCTTTCAGCGAGCTTCCCTTGGTAGTAATTCATTTCTTCTCGCATTATTAATTTTTTTCATCTAGTCGAGGAGGGCCGGATTCTTGTCGTTTGCTGCCTTCAGAGCTGGATCGATGTCGTCAAAATTCTCTCCTCCTGAAGCCATGCTGAGGAGTTTCCAGATAGTTGAGGAAGCGGTAATTTTCAGTGGCAGCAGAATGATGATGAGAGTAAGCTAAGCTGCAAATGAGACAATGTCCGTGGATGAATGTTCAGAAGGATAGGCGTGTTCGGAGTCGGAGGTCACCACTGAGAGTGCTCGAAACTTGGTGGCCCTAAGAAGGGCCGTTTTAGAGAGTGAAGTGCTGGAACAGGTCTGAGCGGTGCTAGAACAAGCGGGAGCGCTGGAGGCAGTGCCAGAACGTGTGGCCGCGGGACAGTGCCAACGTACGGTCTAGCAAGGTACCGGGAGTCGGCCGCTATATAGCGCCGTGCGCTAGGAGCGGGAGCCAATGGGAGGCCAGAGCGGTGAGCGCGGCAGTGCGAGGCGCTGATTGGCCGAGAGAGTGGCAGGAAAGCTCGGCGAGCTTGAGTCGCCACAGTATCAACTTACCGATTCGCAAGAATCGCTACACCGATTTTGTTACCTACATCAGCTCACGTTCGTTTACTTAATCTTGCATCGAGTGGCTAGGAAGTGTAACTGCATTTTTTGGTAAAAGTACTTCATGAACAGTAAAATTAGCTCAATGAGGAGGCTTAAATGGCAAAGTCAGTTTAAAAATTTCGCTAATCTTTAAAATCGTTAATTTTAAGATCCGGAGAGTTATTACTACTTGTAATTAATGCAACATTAACTGATTTGAGGGCAGAACTCTCACACATCGGTTAAGAGAAATACTAAAATCCCAAAATTTCAGATGGACCAAAGAAGCCGAAGATGCCTACAATATCCTCATCAGGGAACTCATCTCAGATAGAGTGCTGACACCCTATGATCCCAATCTACCGCTGATACTAGCTGTAGATGCCAGCCCTTTAGGGCTTGGTGCTGTTCTCTCTCACGTTATGCCCGACAAAACGGAACGTCCAATTGCCTACGCCAGCAAATCTCTCAGTAAAACGGAACAAGCATATCCGCAAATATAGATGGAGAAGCCCTAGCTATTGTTTGGGGAATAAAAAAATTCTTTCAATATCTCTACTGTAAGAGGTGTGCGGGGTCCTTTGAATACTATGCCCTGAACCAAACTAAAGTGCCGTCCGACAATTTATCCGTTTCCCCTTATGGAAGCTTATCTCCTGAACTTTTAAAGCATCAAACTTCCGATTCGCAAGTAATACATCGTAGTCTTGAAACTGCATCAACATCATCTTGGCGCTCATTGCCAGAACTTCTGCTTCCAGTTATGCCAGCAACCTCCAAGGTAAGGTCTGCACCTTGCAATTCGATATCCTCACCAGCAGTATCAGACGCAAGCTGACCTCGGATCTGGTCGACGCCGCCTACCTCAACCGCCATTGTTTTTTTTTGTTTTTGTTTTTTTTTTCCTACTTCAAATACCACACAAATAGTAATCCTTGCGCTTCCAGTTAGAACCCCTCCCCCCTCTATCCCTACCATGTACCAGCCCAAGGCAACCGTTGTTTAAGACCATCAAACTCGGGTCGCCTGGCCGGGAATCGAACCCGGGACCTTCTGGTTGTAGAGCCAGCGCTACAACCATTACACCACAAGAGGCCGACTGGATCGTTATCGATCTCACTTTGGAAGAAAACAAACTACCAACCTCGGCATCTCACAATCAGTCAGTTGGGCTATCAACCCAAAAGCCTCCCAGAAACAGAAGACCGCCCGACAGATATTCGCCCTCCTAATGTGAAACCAGCTTGAAGTCCCACAAAGAAACCATATTCTTTAATTTTATTCAGATTTTTCAATTTTCTCTGACATTCAAATTATTATTTGGGTAAAATTCTGTCAACATCCATCTTGGATTCTGCTACCTATATGACAAGAATTTCAAATTCTATGCACCACTCTCTCGCTGAAATTGTTGTTTCTATTTTTTTTTCTAACCGCTCAAGTAATCTCCATATTTCTGTGATATTTTTTAAACGGAGACGTTGCATGTGTGAGGAATTTGCGATTTGATTGTTGATCTTTATGTGAAAGGTCGCGAGAAACACGATGGTGCCACTGGTTTTCTGTGAAATCAACTCTTAAGCTCAAAAAAAGCTCTAAAGTTGAGGCCAAAATGGAGGGGATATCCCACGCTATCCTGAGAGTCCACCTCTACATCAAAACAAACTCTCTATGCAAAGATACTGAGCAAATACATTGACAGAGTTGCCGTGATTTCATTTTAAGAGTCCCAAAATAAGGTGGCAGCCCTGTCAATGTATTTGCTCCTTATCTTTGCATGGAGAGTTTGTTTTGATGTAGAGGTGAACTCTCGGGATAGCGTGGGATATCCCCTCCATTTGAGCCTCAACTTGAGAGCTTTTTTTAGCCTGGGAATTAATGTTAGAGGAAACCAGTGGCACCATCGTGTTTCTCGCGCGAACTGTTACATAAGAATCAACAGTCAAATCGCCAATTCCTCACACATGCAACGTCTCCATTAACAATCTAGTCACGATAAGATTTTAAATCTTTGAATTAAGAGAGTGTCATTACTACCGAGTATTGTTTCTAAACAAAATTGTAAATTTTTCATCGCATGCGGAGATCTATTGCTCCTTTCCAACCAAAGTGTTTTTTTTCTGTTATATTGTCAACCAAAGTAGTTTTTCAAACGCATGCGGAGAACTGTTGTATCCTAAGTTGGTAGCCATGTCAACAGCATAGGGACTAAAGCCCTTGCTAGGAGGTAAACCCTGACTCGGGAATCATGTAACCTTCATCGAATACACGTTCGTCTTCCTTACCCTTTCGTTTTCATTTTATTATCGTTTCCTTTAGTTCTTTTATTATGGTTTAGTTACATCATCTGGTATGCGGAGATGGATTTGGTGCGACTTTCTCTACTAAAAATCTACTGTATTCGCATGCATATGTTTGGTGGGACAAATTGTATCAATTTTTTTAAAGAAGTCTGTAGGAGATATTTTCCAATAGTTTCATTGAGCTTCATTCCATCTCTTGAGCAGTGCCTTTTACTCTGACTTGATTTGAATATTTTTCAGAGGTTACTGTCCAAATTTAATGGACGATTTACTGAGGCGTATGGAACAATATGCCAATAATCTCGAAGCTCTTGTTGAGGAGAAGACCGAGCAATTTAGCATGGAAAAACGTCGCTCAGAGGAGCTTCTCTACCAAGTGCTCCCTAGGTGAATATTCCTAAGTTTCATTTCAAGGTTAATTTAGTAATAGGTAATTACAAGACTGAAATCTAAAAATGTCAGCAAACAGGTGCAATCCCAGCAAGTCTTAGCAATCCTAAGGCTGGATATCCGCTTGAGTATTCCTGACGCGGTGATAGGTCAAAATGTCCAAAAAAAAAAAAATCCAAAAGTCAAAATGTCCAAACCCTGAATGCCCAAAAATCTAAAAAAGGCCAAATGTCCAGTTATCAGTAATGTCCAGCAGACAAATAAGTCCAAAAGTAGGCAAATGTCCAAATGTGAGATTAGGCATTGGTTGAGTTGTTATTGGAGTCTCGGGTGCAGGTTTGCGAGCTGTTTGTGAATGCAGCCATAGAAACAGATGCGTCGGATAATGGAGAGATGCAGGTTAGGGAAAAATAGTGAGAAAATTTTTCATGAGAGTAGGCACATTCTTACTTTTAAAAATGCATTAATGATTTATTTTCCAAATTTTAAGTGATATTGATAAACATAACGAACATGGCTAATATTACCCCGTTTGTCATAAAAAGCAAAAAAAAAAAGAAGTTATTCTTGTCCATAACAACAAACAGTTAGTACCTATGTAATTACTCTTTCCATATTTAGACATTCACCTACTTTTGGACTTATTTGTCTGCTGGATATTACTGATATTTGGCCGTTTTAAATTTTTAGGCATTCAGGGTTTGGGCATTTTGACTTTTGGACATTTTTTTGAACATTTTGACCTATTACCCCTGACACACGAACCGAATGCAAACTGGTACGGGGCCATTTATAAATTACGTATGGCACTTTTGCCCATTTTTAGACCCCCTCCTCCCTTCGTAAGGCATCCCTTACCCTCCACTTTAAATTACGTAAGGCTCAACTGCCCCCCCCCCATACAATTATCGCAGGTCTAGGTATTTTGTATTCTTTTAGAAAAACAATGAAATTTTTAGGGCATCGTTTTTAGTAGGGAAACTGGATTTTTGAAGTAAGTCATAGGAAATATTAATGATGCGAGGGTCATTCCGAAGGTTTTGCGCGTTTTGCTCTCATTTCAAAAGTATTAAAGATAGGGAGAATCCGATTAGATTTGCACATGAGCCCTACTCTCAGCTTTAATTTAAGCTCAAGTTTTTTTTTTTAAAAAAAAACGGATGAATAGTCTCAGAAGGTCTCCCGTCTCCCGCGCCGCCTTCATTGTGTTTCCCGCCACCTCTAGGCACACAGCGTCCATGATTAGTAAGATGCGCGGACGATTTCGGCCAGTCTGATCAAATCGCATTGAAATCCTTATCAATACTTTTTATTAGATTGTTGACCTGTTTAGCACGCTGTTTGCTAGGTCTTCGATGATGAGTGCAATCAGTGTTCTTTCGATATTTGTGTAAGCTTATCGTGTAAAGTGTGTTGTGAAGTTATGGCATTTTCAAAGCCAGGCAACTATGAAGTTCGATCAGTTTTTCGAGTTTTGACTTCGGAAGGTGTTAGTCCATGTGACATTATTCCCAGAGTTGAAGCAGTTTCCGGGGAAAATGGGATAAGCCATGGAAATGTCCAGAGGTTGATCCAATTGTTTCGAAAAGGTAGAACAGAAGTGCTCAATGGAACCCGAGATGGCAGGCCAAGTGTGATCGACAGTAACTTAATGGAATGAGTCGACGCTTTTATTCACGAAGATCGCCGATTGACACTTGGCGAAATGCTCGAATATATTCCTGCAATTTTTCGACCTGTCTTGCATCAAATCATTCAAAAATGGTTGAAATAAAAAAAATTCTAGCCAGGTGAGTTCCGAAAGTGCTAGCTTACCGCGCGTTTGGAGATGGCGGGAAACGCATCGAAGGCGGCGTGGGAGAAATTACCTCCCGAGCGTTTTGTTTATCCAATTTTTGAAAACTTGGGCTTGAATTAAAGCTAAAAGCATGCCTTAAACGCAGATGTAATCAGCGTTTCCCTATCTTTAAGACAAAGGCTGTCCAAAAAGTAAGCAAGTAAGTAAGTAAGTAAGTAAGTAAAGGCCGGGCTGACTGCGAGGCGCCCTTAAGGGGCCAAGACACCTGGCAACTGCCGTCGTGCACCCTAAAGTTGGACCGTGTCCCTTGACCTCAAATCATTGACACATCGTGTATCTGCTATATTTTCGCAAAGCTCAGCGGCCGTCCGATAGCCATCGGTAGATCTTATCACAGACTTTTGCAGACGCTGCAGAGCACGGATTTTTGGAGCACGGCCATGCCTCCACCGAGTTAGACTGTGTTGTTGCAATCTCCACTGATGGGTAGCGCTGGCAGTCGCGCACGCACTACCAGTGATCACCGATTTTTCACAACCCAGTCGAACAGTGCAGACAGATAACTTACTGGGTGACTATGTCCCTCTCGCACCCTGACCTCGAAGGGTCAGGGTATTGTTGTGTAAGTCATCCACGGTCACTATGACTGATATTTGAGTGTCCTCAAATATCAGCACCGGGACTGGTTCCCCTGCTAAAAATGGTGAGTACCTACAAATGAGTAGAAAATCAAATTCGTATGGATAGGATTTCAATTCATATGAATAGAATTTCAACTCATATGTGTAGAATTTCAACTTATATGAATAGAATTTAACTCATATGAGCAGAATTTCTCTATTCAGTTTTCGCCAACTCATATGACCAAAGATTCCAACTCATATGACTGGAGATTTCAACCCACGTGAGTTTAGCTTTGAATCTACCGTGTCCGATATATCTCAAAAACTAGTCATCGTATCAAAAAAATTTTAAGTACAAAATGTTTTTATTTTTCGAATTTACATACCATGTCGGTGTCTCCTGGTCAGAAACAGCACTTCTGAAAAATGAAAAAAATTGAATTTATGCGAGTTGAATTTTTCTACTCTTATGAGTAGAATATTCTAGTGATTTGAGTAGGATTTCTATTCATATGAGCAAGAAGTTCTACTCATGTGAGTCGGCGAATTCTGAATAGCCTACTCATCATTTTCAGCACGGTCCTGACTCAAAAATTAAGATAGCTAAAGGCTTGATCTCAGTTGTTAAGCAATTTTTTCCGGGTTAACCCTCTTTTTCTCGATTTCTCCTTGACGAACCCCCAAAAAACCCGAAAGTCGTGGATTTACGGATATGAATTTTGGGCAATATGCACGAATATCCATCTACTGACACTTGATTGACTACAAATGTATAGGATATGCATTTACAAGCCACAAAAACAGTCTAACTTGACTTTTTCAGCGCTTTGACCCAATATTCCCGCCAAAAAAGCGAAAAATCGCATTTTCTAAAAAGCGGCCAAACTACAGATTTCGAAGTTTGCTGTTCCTCAAGCAATAGGCCTTCTAGTTGACATATCCGCAAAAAAATCGCGGGTGGTATGTTGACCGCATTAAAAATTTTTAAAACGTACCGTGTAGATGAAATGGATGAAAGGTGACCGGGACAATTCTTTAAGCCAAACCGCGATTTTCCGCTGGCTATTTCTGGGGGTGGCTGACCGTCGGTTCATTCTTTCCCCATGAACTTTGAACCCTTATACCCGTAGTCAGACGACAACGACTTGACAGTGTTGCCAATCAATTAGGTTTTGCCATGATTAGTTGCAACAGAACCGTGCTCTGACTCTGATCATTAATTTAGAGAGTGTTCTCGGCAAGAGAAAATAGTCACCAGAAACGGTAAGGGATCCAGATATTTTTTTTACAAACAGTGTTGTAACTTTTGAAATATTTGACTGAAAGTTTTGATTTTGGTCTTAATCGATAGATATTGAGTTGATCTTTCGAATAAAACCAAGATCAATCCTCTAGCTATCTTAATTTTTGAGTTATAGAACCGGTCCCGGTACTTTTTGGACAGCCTTTGTAGTTTTGAAATGAGAGCAAAACGCGCAAGCCTTTTTGGATTACCCTTGTACAATTAGTTTAATAAACAAAAATACGTGGAGCACAATTGAAGATAATTTCTGTCTTTGGAATAGTTAAAAGCATATAGTTGACCTAAGGATGAGGTCACTACTCAGCGTCATCATCTCACGGGAGTGGAAAAGTGTGAATCAAGAGAAATGACAGGAGCATGGTCTGATCGGTCAGCAATCGGTGATGTGCTGATGTTCTCTATTTCATATTGAATTTTATGATCAACATGACGAAAAATGGATTTTTGCATTTGCTTTAAATGTAGACTGGAAGACTCAGCGCAAGGCTCAGCCCTCCCCCCCTCCCCCTCGTAAGGCACCGTAAGGCTGCTAGAGAACCCCCTCCCCCACTAACTGCATTACGTAATTTATGGACGGCCTCTACCCTATGGAATAACGGATACCTACCTGCGTCAAACAATAAAATTAAGCGTTTTTTCTCATGATCTAAATTTATATCTACCATCGTTGCTTGCTTTACAGGCGCTTCAAAAATTTTTAGAAAATGAACCCGCGACAAGGAGGTGGTTACAGATAAAGTTTGATATCCCAATGAAGTTTTTAAAAACGTATTGCTCGTTATGAAGCTGAGAGCATGCTTAATAAAAGTATTTACATTGTTTGTTGTATCTTGAATGCTCTTGAAGAAATTATTAGCAACATTTGCTTATTGGGATATACTTTCTTTTTCATATTTTTCTGTAGAGGGAAAAATTTATTGTCTCAGAACAAAAAACGGTTTTCTATTTTTATATTCACCGGGGGGCCACGAGCCTTTACCGGCTCGCGAAATAATCCCCAGCAGCGCTTCACGCCTCGGGCGTTAAACGTTACGAGTTACTTTTATGATTTATTATTTTAGCGCACGATACCTATGTGATTGATAATTGGTAATTTTTTAGGCCGGTGGCACAGCAACTAATGGCAGGTGAAATGGTGGAGCCGGAGCAATTCGAGTGCGTTACCGTTTATTTTAGTGACATCGTTGGCTTCACAACTCTGTGCGCCCAAAGTTCACCCATGCAGGTGTGTAATATTAACGCACTTCACGGAAGAAAAAAAAAACTTTGTGCATAGGATCCGAAGTTCAGGTCTGATAGATTCCTCAAGTTTTCGGAGCGTGTATCCAAAAACTTGAAAATACCTACCGACGTCCGGGTCACACATTTGAAGTACCTACTTGCGTACTTCAGTCGAGACTTTCATAAAGTAATCGAAGTACTTCAGATAAGTGACTAGAACTTTGGCAGCGGGGCTCATATTTATAAATCAAGGGTTGGTTCTGTGATGAGCCTTATGCGCGGATTTAAACACTCATTGAAGACTGACGTAAGTTGGTTGGCACTTTACCGTAAACTTACATGCCCTCAAGTTCTGTCGGTAAAAAAAATTTGAAGTGGTATATCAATACGATATAAACATGAATCTCTAAAAATTGGAATTTAAAGAGCTTTGAAAAGTAGAAATAAGTAAAGCATTAAAACTGCTTTTGTGTGTGACTAATTTTTAGGTGAAAATGGCGATTTAAGCCCAAATGTCTTTACCGAAATGTGCAGAAAAATACGAATTAAATTATGGGTCTATAATGTGGCCTGGCACCATCTGGCAACGCAGTAAAATATTTAATTTTGAAAATTTGGGAGTACTACATCTCGCCCTTTCAAATGACGGGCAATGCAATAGAGTTTACAAAATATTACTGTTCCAACTTAGCAACATAGCATTTAAAAAGAAAGGAAGGTTTTTGAGATAGCTGGTGTAGTAAAGGTGTGCCTTAACATATGGATTTTGAGGGTTGGCAGGATGGGCAGTGTTGAAAAATTGTGCGTGATGATAAAATATTTGAAATTTAAAATTTAAAAAACTTGAAATGTAATTGACAGTGTTGTTAAAAATTGTGCATTAAAATATGAATTATGGGCGGGGGAGGCGTTGTTGCCCTTTCGTACTGCGGGTATGCAATGGAGTTTACCCTTTCAGTTTTTAGGTTATGCAATAGAGTATGGTTACCCTATGGTTGTGGAATGGGTTACCGAATTGTGCATGTCGACGGTGCAAGTCGGCAATCACATAACTCGGAAAACGCGATTTTTCAGGAGAGGGAAAAAACTCTCTACATTCCTCATCTTTGAAGGTAGAGGGGAAGTAATTCTTAGAGGCAGCAAGGATAAGATGCTTTATAAGACTCTATCATCATTTTGAATAATATTCTCGTCTGTCAGGAGAAATGACCGACAAACCGAGTTATGTGTTAGTGGAAGTAATGTCCAACACTGAATTCCGAGATAAGTGATTGGCGAATTACTGATTCAAACCTATTCTTTGCCGATGTTGTCCGAATAAAGACTGAATAAGAGTCCTCTCACTTTAAAAGTAGCCTAAAGTTCCTTTTAACAAACTTTAATTGGTAGCGAATCTTTAAATTGACACTGGAAAACGATTCGACGGCGTAAGTCGGCAATCACATAGGTAACTATCGGTTTACGACGTCGCAGACTTCCTGTCACACTTCATTTTTTAAACGGAAAACTACTCAACGGCAATTCTTTAAAACTGCCGTGAGTTTTCTTCTCTGTGCGAATTAAATTCTGCAAAAACTTCAAGGAATGATGTCAATTTGTTCTCCTTTAAAAAAATGACATAGAGGTGGAGATTTTCAGACACCGCAAACGAGTTATGTGATTGTCGACTTACACCGTCGTTATGTGATTGCGGACTTCACGCCGTCGAATTACGAATTAAAATGAAATGAAGATAAAATTCAGCGCGCGGACGATTACTCAGTTATCCGTCGGATTAGATGTTAGATATTAAAACAGTAATAATATTTTTGTTGTTTGAGGATTCCGTGACGTACTAACTTTTAATTTTCCCTCCTAAACTGCTCGAGGTTCTTCCCGGGAGAGCGCGCGTTGTGTAAAAATGCGGCGCGACGGCACGAGTTATGTGTTATTGGAATTAACGCCAATAAGATGTGTGTTTTGAGTTCTACGTTTTTAGGTGACTTCCAGATTTTTTTCGGCTGAAATATTTTGGTAGCAGGTAAAGGGCACCTTCTACACTTCATTTCTGCAGCTAACTCAAAACCGCCGAAAATCGAGTTATGTGATTGCCGACTTTCACCGTCGATGTATTTTTTGGTGGCGGGGAACGGTGTTAGAACCTTGAACTTTGGGCATAAGGGTTGGATAATTCACGGGAATTGGCGTGTTCCCATTGACACTCTATTTAGCGACGAATGAAAAAAACGGACTCCTTTGACCTCGATAAGGTCAATTGTATTATACATTGTTTAGAATGTATGATTGAAGATGATGATGTACAAAAAAATAAAAGGAGAAATTATAATATCATTTCTAAAAATGTTTTACCATCGTCTACTACCCAAGGTCAAAAGCTCAATACTGAAGTATCAAACCTAATGTTACAATACTCAAACCCTACACAACACTCCCAAGGCACTGATGTACGGTCTCGAACTCCACTAAAGTATTCACTTTTAATATATCTGAAGCCCAAATTTCAAGGTTCTGATGCACACCTTAAATTCTATTGAACTATCCCCCCCCTCTCTTGCCCCCGCCCTAGTAGCACAATTAGTGTTTAAAATGTTTCAAAAATGTGTCACTGAAATCAAAAAACATTGTCAACACATTTCATCGAAACATTTTGAACACGTTCAAAATGTTTTCATTCAGTTTTTAACACGTTTCAGACACTTCTCTATGTCACCCCAAATTTTTGTCAAACTGACACCCTATGCAGATGTTTCTGATACCTATTGAGGATGTAGCAAAGTTTCACTGATACGTTTCAGGAACATTTCTGAAACATATTTTTGAAAGGAAAGGTGATTGATGCTCTCACAAAATTGTTTCAGAAACGTTTCCAAAGCATTTCGATGGTTTTCAAAATATTCCTTACGTTTCATCGAAACATATTAAACACGTTCAGAATGTGTTCATTCAGTTATTAACACGTTTCAGACACTTCTCTATGCCACCCCAAATTCTTGTGTCGCCTACACCGTGGGAAGATGTTTCTGAAACCTATTGAGGATGTTTCAAAGTTTCATTGAATCGTTTCAGCAACGTTTCTGTAACATGTGTTTGAGAAACGTAGGTTCTGACTGTTCACTATGAAATCGTTTAAGAAATGTTTGCATGTTTCCGAAATGTGTTTCTTCGGGGGTTAACTAGAGGACAAGTATCAAACAATCTTAGACATTTGTTTTAATAACTAATGTCGCTGTGGAATTAGAACCATCACAACAGGAATCCCTTGATACTTACCATACCTGAAGGCTGAATCGTTACACTGCATCATTATCAACCCATCAGAGGGATTAGAACACCTTCACTTTAGAAAAGTATACGTAAAGCACGATGTACGGTTTCAATATTCTAGATAATCCATAACTTATGAGCTTTCATGGAGATGAACTCGATTCATACAAGGAATTAAACGTGTTTATAACCTCCACATAATTAAATGTCCAAAAAGTATAGCTTGAGACGAAAAATTAAGCTGAAATTTGTTAAAATTGAGAAATTAAACGTTAACGCCCTCTGGTGGATTCAGTTTGAACCAGGAAAAGTTTTAGAAAGGTCCTAGAAATGTTTCTATGTTAATCAATGAAACATTTCTAAAACGTGTCAAAAACATTTTTAAGTGACGTATAAATTCTAATAAAATATTCAAAAAGGTTTTAGAGACATTTTGAAAATGTGTTGAAAAGGATTTGTTGAAACATTTTCAGAATGTGTTCCAAATATTTCAACTAAAACCACCCATTTCAGATGACATTTATAATTTGTTTTGGAAACGTTTTAACAAAGATTAATGAGATGAAGAAGAAATGTTTGGAAAATAATTTTGACTCAGTTCAACGTAACAAAGATCAAACTAGGTCAAAATGTTTTAAATTTGTTTCAAAAATGTTTCAGATGAAATGGTATTTTTCTAAATTCATACGAAATATTTCTGATATGTTTTAGAAATATTTCTGAAAAATCGCGTACATTTTTTTAAATTTGTTTTCAAAACAATTCAAAATTTTGGTAATCACGTATCAAAAAACTGAAAGTAAAACATTTCAAATTTATTTCCAATGTATTTTTTAGGTACAAAATTTGGACGTAGGTTTCCGAATAATGTTTCCAAGATAGTTCTGAAACATTTCTATTTTGTTTCATTTTTTACGGCCGCAATTTATTTCAAATTTCTTTCTAATATATTTTGATTTTAATTTTTTTAATTTAAAAAAAACGTTTTTAAAACGGTTCAAATTTGTATCAATGAAACCTCTGCAAAGCTTCGTGTCAATTATATATTTCAAAAATATTTCTGAAACGTTTCAGTGAGATGACACAAGTTAGACACCTATGAGATGTTTCTAAAATATTAGTGAAACGGGTTGTGCTACTAGGGCGATGCCCAAAGTCCAAGGTTCTGATGCACATCCCCCGCCACTGAAAAATAAATGCTCATTTCGGTAACCCATTCCATAACCATAGGGCATCATACTCTATTGGGTGATTTCACGATAAGAGGAATAGTCGTGTCGCCGTGGGTTATGAACGATATAGGGCAAAACGATTGAAAACCAAATGAATAAATCAATAGGAATGATGTCCCTGAACCTATCCACGCTAAAAAATATGATAAATTATTATCATATTTCATAATATGAGACTTTAAAGGCCGAAAATGTCCGGTCGGTTACGCGTCGCCAACCCCGATTTTGAAGCAAAAGAGCAATTTGCGGTAACAAATCAGTACTGATCATAAACTCTTTGGCAATATTTGCTGAAAAGAGACTCTAATGTTCAAGAAAATTGCCAGTTTGAACTGAAATGTTTATTATTGAGCGAGAAAAGTCATTAGAAAGAGGTGTCGCCACATTTGGCAACAAATTTTTGCAGTTGTATTGAGTGCAGTGTTTATCTCGCCAGACGGAGTCAGGAGTTTCAAAATTGCCATCAAATTGTTCGCTGAAGTCTTCTCGACAAAACCATTACTGATAA